TGCATCCTGCCTCATCTCTCACTAATGGAAATATAGTAGGCCTGCCCCTCTTATCCACAAGGGATACATTCCAACACCCTTAGGGGGGTGTGAAACCGCAGATAATACCAGACCCTACTGCAGCGCCACCACACAGCATGAGAGTGTGCTCTGCCCTGGTGCCTTCTTCACATCCCTGCTCCTGCAACTGTGAGCCATTATTAAGTCAAATAAGGGTTTACTTGAACACAAGCACTGCGACATTGGGACAGTTGATCCGATAACTGAGACAGGTTGGTAACATGTACAGCTGGACAAAGGGATCACTCGTGACTGAGTGGGACAGAGTGGGACACTGCAGGATCTCATCACAAAACTCAAAATACTGTAATTTAGAACCAAGGAGTTGTGCACCTGGAAGTTTTCGTGTAATATTTTCTGGCAGTGGTTGACCTGAGTGCCTGAGATCAATGATAAAGAGAGAAGGGTCATGCAGGGTCTCTCAGAGGCCACTCTGGAGGGTTTGGCTTTCACCCTGGGATAGGGACCACTGGAGGACTTTGGCTGGAGGGAGGAGGGAAGTGATCCAACCTAAGTTTTGCAAAGGACCACTCTGCCTCCTGTGTTGAAGGCATACAGACTGCAGGTGCGGGGGCATAGGGAAAGCCCGGCACTGAGACCTGAGGGATGATGGTGGAGGTGGAGACAGGGCAGACTGTGGATCTCTTTTTAAGGGGGAACCTTAGGATTAGATATGTTATGGTATATGTAGACCAAAAAGGCTCCAAAAGCCCCATGTGTTGGGAAGGTATATCCCTGTATCAGTCAGGGTTTTACTAGAGAAACAGATGTAACACAAAATATACAAATGTGTAAGAAATTACAAGTTTGGCTTATGACAGTCAGCAGAGAGTCAGATGAGGAAGCGTGCAGAGGGTGTCTGCTGCACACTGGAGGCCGAAGTGTTCAGTCCAAGGTCTGGAGCTCACTGCAGTGTTTCATGCAAGGCCATATCAGGAGGCCGATGGGTCTGTGAAAGAAAGCTGAAGAGTCTACACCAGAAGGCTGAAGGATCCAAGATAGAAGCCAAAGAGTCTGTGCTAGGAGCCAGGAGACGATGTCCAAGCTGAAGGCAAAGACTGGAGCTTCTCTGAAGAACAGAAGCCAGTCCGCCCTTCCTCATTTGCCTTTTGTACCGTACAGGCGATGAGCTGCCCTAGGATGGGTCCTCTACACCCTAAAGAGCAGACTGCTGCCCTGGTCAGGTCCTCTACACCCTAGAGTATAGAATTGTTGAGCCAACTTAGATAAGCTTCTAAACTTCTCAAGTTGGCCCAATCCATCAACCACCACAATCTCCCTCGCTGGCTCCTGTCACTCTCTGCCTCCCAGCCACCATGACACAAGTAGCTTTTCTCGCTGGCAGGCTCTTCCTTCATGCCATTTTTTCATGCAAGCCTGCCAGTCATGGGATAAAACTGTGAGCCAAAAGAAACCCCCTCTCCTTTAAGTTGTGGGTGTTGGGCATTATGTCCTAGTGATAAGAAAGTGACTAAGACAAGCTATTATACCCAGGGTGTGTGGCTCAGAGAGCCTTGTGCAAGCCCAACGTCCAGGGGGAGTTCAGGAGTACAGCCAGCTGCTGCTTGTGAAATTTTTACAAACCATAGGAAAAATGATAGTGGCTTTCCACATACAATGTGATATAAAAGTTTCCACTTAAATATATTGCTATTAAAAAGCAAGAAAATTTCTTTCTTCCTTTTCTCTTTGGAGTACTGGGTGTTAAACTCAGGTCTTCACACATGCTAGGCAAGTGCTCTGCAACTGAGCTATAGCTCTAGCCTTGAAAGGTAAGATAAACTCAAGGGAAAGTGTTATAAATATCGGTAAACACAGAAAAAAATAATCCAGGCTTCGGAGAAGTACACACTTGCTGTGTTGCTGTGTGTCAACAGGCTTTTCCCGTAAAGGATGAGATGCTAAATATTTTGAGCCTTGAGGATCACGTGGTTTCTTTCCCAACTATTTTAACTGCTATAATAGCACAAAAGCAACCATAGTAAATGGATGTAGCTATGTTACATAAAACTTTATTGACAGAATCAAGCCACCGGCCATCATTTGCAAACCCATAGTCTAGACTGAATCCCTGAGCAGGCTGGCCCCAAGAACATCTTCATTCCTGTTCTTCTAGGAATTCTAGACTTCTTAACTCCAAGCTTTCTAGGTCTTCCATTGTCTTGGGATGAGTCAAGAAGTTTCACTTTGTGCTGCAAATGCATTCATTGTGCTGACCTACTTTCAACTTTTAAGCGTTTCTACCTGGAGATTGGAAGCCAATTTGACCTGGTTCAGTGCCAGAAAACTAATGTCCTTTTCATAGTCCACTCGGGAGCTCAGCTCCTTTTTCCACATCTTCAGCAACCAAACCGAACACAGGTCAATCTTTTAAGTGCCTCTGGGACTCTATGTTAAGGTCATGTCAAGTTTCTCAGTAGTGCCTTTCCTATCACTAAATGTCTAGACACATTCAGGTGCCATCCACTGGTGTTTCCTGATGCCATGTTACACTTCCTCTTTGTATATTGTTTGAGAAAACCTGGAGAAGCTCCTCACACAACTACCCACAAACCCTGGGTAAAATTAATCAGATAAAACATTAACAAAGAATCAGAAACCACAAAAAAGGTAGACATAAATAGCCTGCCGCTTACTGTAGTTTTATATCCAGGATCAGTGTTAAACAGAAAATGTTTCTTTACAGCCTTTCTTTATTGTGTATTGGGTTATGGTCTTGTTTTTGTGCCTCTACACAGTTATAGTCAGACTGTATATAAAATTTTATGAGTTTTCTTCCCCTCTCACTATATTGCTTCAAAAATAACTTTCCTGTCCTTTTACACGGTTCTCAGTCAATGCAAGTATAACCAAAGTTCTGTTCTGCAGCTTTCTTGAGCAATCCTGTGCCATCAGCTGATTACATTGTTTTCAGTTGTCTGCTTTTCTAAATTACACTGTGCAGGACATCTGAGAGCATAGAACTATTTCTTCGTTTAGGGTTATTTGCATTAGCTAAATTTCTAGAGTTGGGATTGATAGAACTCAAAATATTTGATATCTCCTTATCCTTTGTGGCTATATTATTTTCTAAAAGGTTTGGGTTCAGGTATTCCCCAGGAGTATCTGTTTGGACAGGGATTCAGGGAGGCATTCTGACTCTCGGACCTGAGATCAGATATGCAGGTAGCATGACTCCTGGGCAGTTGCTTGGCTCCCCATCTAACACACACCTTCAGTTTTACAAAGCAGTTAGAAGGGAAGAAGCTGGGCGTGGTAGTGGCCACCTATAATTCCAGCAATATGGGAGGCTGAGGAAGGAGAGTCACAAGTTTGAGCCCGAGCCATGCAACTGAGTGACTTAGCAAGGCACTGTCTCAAAGTAAAAGAAATGAAATAGACTGAAAATGTAGGTCAGTGCAAAGGCCCTGGGTTCTTTCCCTAATACAAGGTAGAGAAGGAGAAAAAGAAAGGGAGAGGGAGAGGGAGAGGGAAAGAGAAGCAGATTTCCTGGTCCCTGCAGCAAGTGACACTGGGACGTGATGTAATCTGAGCCTTCATCCCCTGCACCTGTAAAATGAGAGTAGTGAGAACTCGCTGAATACTGAATGTGCCTACAAGTGTGCGGCATTATGCAGTATACCTCCGGGTGGGTGGATGGATGGATGGATGGATGGATGGTTGTGTGGATGGGAAGATGGGTGGATTGGTGGGCAGATAGAAGAATAAATAAATAAATGGGAAGATGGATGGGTGAGTGGAAGCAGAGAAAGATGGATGGATGGATGGACAGAGAATCTCACAGACAGATTTTATTCTACTTATAATGACCCATATAAAATTTCCATCTTGTTATTTCAAAATGATAAAAAAAAAATCCTTGATTTCAAGCAGGCTACAGTATTTTGGGGGAAGAATGCTATTGTCTGCAGTTCATTTTGAAATGCATCAGAAATAGAGAGGATTGATTAATGGGTAGAAAGTGGTGTGAGTATGCGGTAAAGTAAGTATAATATAATGTTGGTGGTAAAAGCTACATGGTAGGTATATGTGTGTTCACGGTAAAATTATTTCAACTTTGCTATACAGTAGAAATTTCCATAATAAATTCATGTGGGATATTTTCAGTAGTAATCATTGGCAATTTCATACAGTTCCCCCTAATATTTATCTCTGACTTGGCCAGGTGATCCTTCCAGGTTCCCAGTCTGTAACTTCAACAGACTCACCTGCAGTCTCCTTTGGACTATCCACCCCAGATCTGAGGGCCAGGCGTCAATGTGTCCCCCTCCCAGGGTTCAGGTTGAACTGCCCTAATGTGCCGATTACTGCGCCGAGTATGCCAGTATCTGGCTTGTAATAATTATAGATTTCCTCTGCGATTTGATCCCATTGGTTGCCCAGGCAACGGCGTAATAGCTCAACTGAAGCGCTGTCACGGTGGTGATTTAGAACCAGCACGTCTCTCCTGCAGACTCCAGTCTGGGCGCCTCCACCCCTTTTGTTCTCGTCATGGCAACTGATGAGATGAGCAGCACATGACCAAAAGCTCTGTGTCACCCCCTCCCCTCCATCCTGCGATCATTTCCACTTCCTCTTCTGGGTCCCTCCAGGACAGGCACTGACCCCAAGCTTAGGCTGTAAGTGGGAGAATAATTGATCCCCAAGGTCACTTCCTACCCCTGAGAGGGGGTTAAGGGGACCTTAGAGCCAGAGCGGCCCCTTTGCCCTGGGGGTCTTGAGGATGACTCGGCACGCTTCCGAGCCCCTTCACCGCTGGGGCTGGGGCTGCCGCGCAGCTGCCACAAGTCCTGGGGAAGCCATTTAGGCTCGCCGCAGCTTGTTCCTCCCGAGGTTTCTGAATCTGTTAAAAAAAAAAAAAGCAATCTAGGAGGAGACCCCCGGAAGGGGAGAGGGTGGGGAAAGGCCTATTTCAGAAGGTCTAAGCTCATGTGACTTATCATTGATTTCAAGGTGGTTTAAGCCCAGCGGGGCTTAAAATATCTTTCTTATATATTTTTTTTAACTGTGTTCTGTTTTCCCCCTTCTGTCTCCTTTGGAGGGCTGTTTCTCTTTGTTTCCGTGTGCGTCTTTCCATTTCCCCGTGCAAAGCCCTCGCTTTCTGAAGCCGTCTTCAGTCTCTCACTGTCTGCCCTCCTCCCCCACGTCTCTCCCCACCCCTCTCCCTCACTAGCTCACTGGGCACCAGCCGAGCCCCAGCCCTTTCCCAAACCTGCTCTGCGTGTGAGGGGCCCTTTCTTCCTGTACCTGAGCCCATGTCCTGGGGGCCTCCTGGAAGTCAGGACTAGCCTCTTGGGGCAGCAGCTGGTGCCCGGCAGCACCTCTGAGGGTGAGCCCGGCCAGCTGCATCCCTAGGGCTCTGCAGGATGGCGTAGAGGACGCGTGTTAAGCAGGAGAGCTGGGCTGGCGGCAGGACCCTGGCTACAGGCACGTGAGTGTACGCCCTTTTGTGTGTGTGTGTGTGTGTGTGTGTGTGTGTGTGTATGTGTGTGTGCGCGTGCACACATGCGTGCACGCTCATGTTTGTGTCTATCTGCTGGTATAAGGAGGTGTGTCTCAGTGTGATATTGGTGTGTGCTGGTATGTGTGTGTGTGCATGCACATGGCCATGTACTCTGTGTAAGCACACTTGTGCATGGATTTCTGCACAGCAGGTACACAAACATGCAAGACATATTTTTCAAGGATGCTTTGTAGAGAGAGCCCAACAGGCTGAGCCCCTTTAAAACAGGAACAAAATAATGATGGATATAAAAATGATAGATAAGGAATTTGCTTTTAGCAGAGGGCTTGTAGAAATGCTATCTATACCTTCCTGGCCCCCAGAAATGAAATGAGGGTCACCTTGAAAAGGCATTTTTACTCAAGCTCCAAAATAAATCCTTCCCTTCCGTTCTCAGGGCTAAAACAGCACACACATCCCTTTCTCCTTGAAACAGCGTGTGGGGAGGGCTGGGCACGGGCATTTCAGAAGGAGTTTGCAGGAGAATCGCAATTGACAACCTGGAAGGCTGTTGCCAAGGGCGGGTGGGAGGCAGCTTTGGAGAGCAGCTGCCCCACACCTTGTGGTCAATTAGAAGTTCATTTTGAATTTTTTCACAGAAGCAGCCCAGGCCCCAAGAGGCAGCCAGAAGAAAATAATTTTAGAAAATGAAATTTCATTTGCAGGGCAAGATGTGGGAATCCTGGCAGCTTGCCCTCTTAGATCCTGCGGGTGGTATGTGCAAGCTGGCAGCCTAGTCACCCCTGGAAGGGAATCCTTTGTGTTCAGCCTGTCCCTGGATGCTGGGACACTTGGCAGCCAGTCACTGTGGGTGAATGCCGACTGGCATGGGCACTACCCCAGACACCCTGGGGGAGAGGGCAGAGCCTGCGTAGGCACCACCTCCGAGAGGAGCAGACCCAATCCAGTGGGAGCAGCCACACTCAGAGGCATTGCTGCCACTTACCTTCCTTCCAGGATGCCATCTTATTTGTCCTGGCCTCCATCTCTCGTGCCTCCTGTGTCCACCTCCCAGAGGTCCACCTGGGGGATGAGGTATGGGGATTAAACCCAGAAACTACACACTGAGCTACATCTCCAGACTTTTTTTTTTTTTTAAGTCAGGATCTCACTAACCTACTAAATTGTCCAAGCGGAGCTCAAACTCCTACTCCTCCAGCCTCAGTCTCCCAGAGTGCTGGATTACAAGCATGTGCCACCACACCTGGCTGAGGTCTAAACATCTTTTAATGCTTGCCTTTGTTGATTCCAGGAAATCTTTAATCTCCATCCACATCCAGCTAATGCCGTACACCCTCCTCTGCCACCGCGAACCATGGACCTCCAGCACTGTACATCCTACAGACCTCCTTCCCCACACTTACCCATGAGCTTCCACTTATTTTCAAGAACTTTAAGAGAAGTATTGAGTAAGACAAAATACATGCAAAGCCGCTGGCCCAGATTCTTAAAATGTTAATGTCCTCAAAGACAAGCGGCTGAGAAATGGTTCAGGGTTAAGGAGGATTGTAGGAACCAGAGACCCAAGTCCAATGTATGATCCTGGGGCAGAAGCTTGCATGGGGGAGGGGGGACTACAAAAATTAACCACAAAAGTCATTTTGGGAGTAAGTGAAAAAATTTGAATACAGGCTATATGCTAGATAATAGTGTCTTTGTTTGCTTGGCTTTTTTTTTTTTTTTTTTTTGAGGCAGGGTTTCCCTAGGTATTTCAGACTGGCCTTGAACTCTCAGTCCTCTTGCTTCAGCTTCCCTAGTGCTGGGATTACAGATGTGCACCACCAAACTGGCTCCAGTAGTGTTTTATCAATGGTACATTTCATAGGCGTGAACTACTTTGTATCTCAGATGATTTGTGCTGAGGTGATGTAGGAAAACGTCCTTATTCATTCACAGTCCTGGAGTGACACATTGCAGTGGCTGTGCCTAACTCTCAAATAATGCAGTGGGTGGATGGACAGACAAAGCACAGTACTTGCAAATGTGGCCTAGCGTTACCTGGTGGTTCTGGGATAACCAGTGGTTGCTGAACCGTGCTTGCGACTTTTCTGTAGGCTTGAAACTTTTTGAATTCCCACTACATGTGCTGGGTGCGTTCTCTGTCCTTACACAGATGGTTTCCTTTAATCCTCTGTACAGCCAGGGCCAAAAGAGCCCGATCACACCCATTTTCCAGTTGAGAGAACACACAGGCAGAGCCAGACTCGAGCCCAAGGCAGAATCCATGTTTTACCTTCACGCCTGCTACTGAGAAATTACTAAAAGGAACAGCCTCACACCAGCATTAAGAAGCACTCAGGTCTGAGTGTGCCTGGCTCTGGCTCTTTGCTACATTGTAGAAGTGAAGAGCACTGGGTGTAGAACCGATCTGGGTTTGTATCCTGGCTTAGTGACCTATCACTGCAACACTGGGAAAGTCACATCCCCTCTTTCTATGGTTTCTTTTTCTTTTTTTTTTTTTTCCCTCTCTCTTTAGTAGGAGTGGATAATAGTTGTATCAACTTTGAAGAGTTCTGAAAATTTAAGCATGGTACTATAGGTAAAGAACTCAGAACAGAGTTTGGTCCCAAGTAAGTGCCTGTGAAGTATGTTCTTCCTGCTATGGTAGTGCTGCCATTATTGTATTTACTGTTGCTATAACCACAGCGCCCCTGCTTGGGCAGTGATGGGTAACCCTAGAGAATCCTCTTCTGTGCCCGAGGGCGGCTGCATGGGTTTGCATTCTGTATGATCACACAGGACCCCAATTCAGAAGATCCTCACATTTGGATAATTGCTCCGCTGTCACTGACTTGCAATTCTGAGTCTTAATTTGCTTGCTGGCTGGCTGGTTGTTTGTTTGTTTGTTTGTTTGTTTGTGACAGAGTCTCATTGTGTAATCCAGGTCAGCCTTGAACTCACTATGTAGTCCAGGCGGACCGCAAACTTACAATCCTCCTGCTTCACCTCCCCAAGTGTCGTCTTAGCGATCTTTGACAAGGGACCTGGGGGATCCACTTTTCGTACAGGATCCCACAAGCCTCGCAGCCAGTCCAGTCTGTGCCTCTGTGCCCTGGGCGCTCTTAGATGGAGCTGTTTGTGTTGCAGTATTGCTTCAGATAGGCCCAGGCAGGCCCATGCAAGCCAGCAGGTCAGATAGTGTGTTCCGCTGACCGGTGCCAGTCCCGATACAATGTATTGGGTTGTGTGGTCTGGTGGGGTAGCTGCTCATCGCCGTGGGCAGAGCCCTTGAGATGGGGCTCTGAAGATTTAGTAGATCTTGAAGATTTAGTAGGAAAAGAATGTAACATATAATTTTATTATGTTTATTATGTGTTGAAATTACTCTGTTTAGAATCACTAGGTTATATCACGCACCTTATTAAAATTGATTGTGACTGTTTTTACTTTTCGAATGTAAATCATGATGTGGCTTGCATTATTTCGGTTGGGCATCCCTGCCTTAGACCATAGTCCCTGTGACTTCATCATGACCCCAACCAGGCCAGCAGGGAGTACCTGGTGGATCAGTTTCCAGGTGACTTGAGCAGCTCTCCCGTCCCAGTACTCAGGCATGACCTGAGTTTCCCAAACAATGCCAAACACCTCTCACTGGTGCAACTGTTCCCGTCCTTCCCTTTGCCTAACTGAGGACTGAACGCAGAGCTTTCACACCGACTGCAACCCTAGCCCTTTTTAAAATATTTTATTTGAAGACAAGAGTCCTGCTAAGTTGCCCAGACTGGGTCTGACTTTCAACCCTGGGGCATCAGCTACCCAAAGTGCTGGGATCACATGAGCGCACCCCCACACCCAACTTCCGTTCCTTCTTGAGATGCTCCAAGACAGTGACTTATTGTAAATGCAGGGAGTTTGTCAAAAGGATTAAAGATGCTGCCAGGCAGCACCATAAGTAGAAAGAATACTGAGGCTGGAATCAGAACTAATTTAGGACTTATATTCAAAGTCCCCGGTGACCACTCTCCAAGGAGTGGACCTGAGGCATGTTACTTAACCTCTGTGCTGAGAAGCAGAACAGCTCTAGCTTTACAGTCTCAAAGACCAGGCTTTTAAACCTGCCTCTTCCACTGACAAGCTGAGTGACATAGGAGAAGTCACTTACCCTCTCTGAACCTCAGTCTCATCCGCACAATAAGTCTGATGGTACTTACCATGTAAGACTATCGCAAGGATAGAAAAAGATGAAACTGAGCAGATGCCCGAGCTAGCCGCAGACAAATGGACCCTTAACCCCCGTGCCTACAGCAGAATCACTGATTTATGGGGAAGCACAAAAATCATATGCTTCATGCATCGAGTGATATACAATACATAGACCGATATACAGTATATCCACAGAATTAAAAGTTCATGGGAGGGTTTGTCTAAAAAAGAATCCAGAGAGAAGTGATACTGAAAAAGAGGATGAGAGACACCATACTCTCCTAATGGGCATGATTCAGAGCTAGCTCTTCAGTTCTGATTTCTGTGGCAAACAGAATGCAGGGCCAGAACTCCATTATGGAATCCAACAAGTACTTATGGAGCACCTACTGTTGTCAGGCACCATTCTAATGGCCCCTGGGAACATGAGCTGGAGCAATCAATGCCCACCAGGCGTATGCTTTTCCTTCCTGCCCTTCTCCTTCCTTCCTTCCTTCCTTCCTTCCTTCCTTCCTTCCTTCCTTTCTTTCTTTCTTCCTTCTTTCTTTCTTTCTCTCTTTCTCTCTTTCTTTTTCTTTCTTTCCTTCCTTCCTTCTTTCCTTCTTTTTCATACTGTACTGGGGATTGAACCCAGGGCCTTCATACTGAGCTCCATCTCCAGCCCTTTTTAAAAAAAAATTTTTTTAAATTTTGAAACAGAAGCTGCCCAGACTGGGCTCTAACTTGTGATCCTCCTGCCTCAGCTTCCCTGAGTGCTGAGATTACAGAGGTGTATCACTAT